GGTAATGTCCGGGGGGGGGAAATATCCAGGGGGGTAATGTCCTGTAGCCACAATTTTTATTGTTAGGTAAACTTACTGAATACAATTTTTGTTATTAGGTAAATCTATTAAATACAATTTTTGTTGCTAGTTAAATTTTTAAAATACACAGGAGTAGGCTGGCTGTGTTTTTAAGCTGTCCATAAAATAAAGAAAAGGGCCCCTACACCTGATTTAAATTTTCATTGTGCATTTTTTCCATCTAGGCCTTAGACATAGGCCTACAAAGTCACTATAAATTTACAAACTGCAACCTATAACAATAGGCTAAGAAAAACGAAAAATCGCAAGTTTTAAATTGACATAAAACCTCACATATGCGGTTATAAATCAAAATCTAAGGACTTGACATAGAATAAGATGTTTCTTTTAGCTAAACTTCAAGGTCAGTAATTATGTCATTACTTACTTTCAAAGTACTGATAAGCCTATTACAACATCGAGATGCTGGTGACCCAAAGGGAATTTTTTTTCTTTTTAATCTGCCAGATACTGCTATTTTGTTAATAAATCTGCCGGATACAACATTTCTATTTGGAAAATCTACCGGATTCAACTGTTATGTTAGTAAAATCCGAGCCCGCTGTGGTGGTTTTGACCACTAATTATTCTAGTCATGGCTATCTCTGTTCGACCCCTCGCCCGTGGCCGGTGACGATGACCTGTAAACAAACCATGCTATCCCCAACACAAACCATGCTATCCCCAACACAAACCATGCTATCCCCAACACAAACCATGCTATCCCCAACACAAACCATGCTATCCCCAACACAAACCATGCTATCCCCAACACAAACCATGCTATCCCCAACACAAACCATGCTATCCCCAACACAAACCATGCTATCCCCAACACAAACCATGCTATCCCCAACACAAACCATGCTATCCCCAACACAAACCATGCTATCCCCAACACAAACCATGCTATCCCCAACACAAACCATGCTATCCCCAACACAAACCATGCTATCCCCAACACAAACCATGCTATCCCCAACTGGCTGACCCGACATGACCACATACGTAACAGGCGAGCCCATGACCTAGAAACAGCTCGGTGACCTAGACATACATTGCTGGTTGTACACCCTCGTTTATCGACGCAGCAAAAGCGGCGGTGTAATGTCTCTAACCCCCCCCCCCCCCCCCCCACCCCTCCCGACGACATCACGCTGATAAAACCTTGAGACCAGTAAACGAACTGTTTGTTGTCTGCAGACGATTAGCAACCGACTCAGTTGTAATTAGCGTCAGTATTGTGGTCGCCATTGTAGACAACTTATTCCCCTATAGCCCCTGAGGAGCAAAGTGCTTCAGCTACATCTATCCAATGGACTGGTCACCATAATTACGTTACTCTTCTGTTGTTGCTATCCTTTTTATTAGTCTTCAATAACAATAATTTGTAAACTTTATCCATGTAAAAAGACCGCATAAGTAAATCCTGGAGGTGTTGGACTACCGAAGCGGACTTTTGTTAGTTCCTTGTAAGTTCTATCTTTACACATTTGTTAGTTCCTTGTAAGTTCTATCTTTACACATATGTTAGTTCCTTGTAAGTTCTATCTTTACACATATGTTAGTTCCTTGTAAGTTCTATCTTCACACATATGTTAGGTCCTTGTAAGTTCTATCTTCACACATATGTTAGGTCCTTGTAAGATCTATCTTTACACATTTGTTAGTTCCTTGTAAGTAATGTAAGTTCTATCTTTACACATTTGTTAGTTCCTTGTAAGTTCTATCTTCACACATTTGTTAGTTCCTTGTAAGTTCTATCTTCACACATATGTTAGGTCCTTGTAAGATCTATCTTTACACATTTGTTAGTTCCTTGTAAGGTCTATCTTCACACATTTGTTAGTTCCTTGTAAGTTCTATCTTCACACATTTGTTAGTTCCTTGTAAGTTCTATCTTTACACATTTGTTAGTTCCTTGTAAGTTCTATCTTCACACATTTGTTAGTTCCTTGTAAGTTCTATCTTCACACATTTGTTAGTTCCTTGTAAGTTCTATCTTCACACATTTGTTAGTTCCTTGTAAGTTCTATCTTTACACATTTGTTAGTTCCTTGTAAGTTCTATCTTTACACTTTTGTTAGTTCCTTGTAAGTTCTATCTTCACACATTTGTTAGTTCCTTGTAAGTTCTATCTTTACACATTTGTTAGTTCCTTGTAAGTTCTATCTTTACACATTTGTTAGTTCCTTGTAAGTTCTATCTTTACACATTTGTTAGTTCCTTGTAAGTTCTATCTTTACACATTTGTTAGTTCCTTGTAAGTTCTATCTTTACACATTTGTTAGTTCCTTGTAAGTTCTATCTTTACACATTTGTTAGTTCCTTGTAAGTTCTATCTTTACACATTTGTTAGTTCCTTGTAAGTTCTATCTTTACACATTTGTTAGTTCCTTATTAAGTTCTATCTTTACACATTTGTTAGTTCCTTGTAAGTTCTATCTTTAATTACACATTTGTTAGTTCCTTGTAAGTTCTATCTTTAATTACAAATTTGTTAGTTCCTTGTAAGTTGTATCTTTAATTATACAGGTGTTAGTTCCTTGTAAGTTCTATCTTTAATTACACATTTGTTAGTTCCTTGTAAGTTCTTTTTTTAACTACACGTAAGTTAGTTCCTTGTAATGTCGTTCCTTAATTACAAAAACATGTTTCTAATTAGAGAATTAAAATGTTTATCGATAATTAGCTTATCTTAATACAAACCATCCACATAGAGAACTCGACCTGAAATAACGCTTGAATAAAAGCATATTTTCGTGTAAGGGAAGAGGTGGGTTGGCGTCTTATTTCACAACTCATTACAATCATTGTTGTCGTAATGCAGTGTGTTTGTTTTTTAATTTAAATTTTTTCCGTATTTACTATATTGAATCAGATATAATGTAATGTTCAACGCAAAACTTGGCTTGTAGTACTTTATGATCTACACTATCAGTGCTAGCTTCTCCAAAGGGTAAATGCCAGTAGCGTAGCCAGGATCGTCTCATGGGGCTGGGGGGGTTCAAATTTTTACCCGGGGACAAACTTTCGATTTGCACCCCCCCCCCTCAAACTTTCGATTGACACCCCCTTCATACTTTATATATATACCGAGGGGTCCCCCTAACCCCTCCACCTGCCTACGCCACTGGTAAATGCTACTAGTTTCTTTATAAAGCCAATAGACCTCCTGAGTACACTAGCCGGAGTAGCTGGTCTAAAACATGTAGCTTTCATTTCCTGTTTACTTTATGGTAAGTGAATTCACTTGAGAAAAATAGACACTGTCTTTCCACTTAAATTTACTATGAACACATTTAGCTGGTTTAATTCTTTTAGAGTAGCAAGAGGTAAGCATGGCTAACATAGCAGCCACTAAATATATCATAGTTAACTGGGACTAAAGGCCCCACAATATATATATATATATATATATATATATATATATATATATATATATATATATATATATATATATATATATATATATATATATATAGGCTATATATATATATATTACTGTTCATTGTTATTATCTTAAGTAAAACAATTGCTAAAAGACCAAGTGATTCAAGGTAAACACGTTGTTTGAATTTGTAAAGCTTCGGTAAACAGGGTCGTGGTACCAGAATATCATGGGCTAGATTAGAAGGTACAGTACCGTAAAAAAGCCTGGGTAAGCACTTTAGCAAACGGGATATGGCTTGTCTATTGATACACTTACCACAGTACAATTTTTATGTTCAAACTTAGACTTGGATTGATAGCTAGGAAAATTGAAGTCACAGTTATGAAAATATATTAGTCTGAAAACGATGCATGAAAAACCAACTTCCGTCAACATTTTTTGAGGATTGTTTATTTATTGAACTCTGAAAATAAACGACTGGTTTAATGTTAAACGTCTAACGAAGTAGTTGTTCGGCTGTATAAATTCATTTAATTTGTTTGTTTAGCAGACTGCTTTTATGAAACTGTGTTGTGTGTATCAGTAGAGTGTGGGGGAGGGGGGGGATAGATTGATCTTAGTTGAAATCTCCCATTAGCTGGTATTGTCATGTGTCGTGGATGCCACACCTGCTAATTAGCTGCGTTATTCATAAGCTCTCTTTGTTCTGCCAGGGACCAGAGGAGCTGAGCGAAAAGATGACATCAAGTGACACTAAATCCTTTGAATAGTATCCTAATCTCCTAATTTGTTTTGACGCGTTTATATGGCTATTATATTTTGTGAGATTTTTAGAATTAGTAGGTGGCAATAGATGTTGATTGGGAGCGTGTCTAATTATTTAGCCGCGTAATTTTTTGTTATTCAGACTGGCCGCGACCATCTATCCATTTCAATATAAGTGTAAATAGAACTTAGAATGTCAAAATGTATGAACATTAGTAGTGAAAGCATAATAATTTTGTCATAGTGAACATTTCCACCATGTATATATATATATATATATATATATATATATATATATATATATATATATATATATATATATATACATGCATACATAAAGCTGTAAATCATAAAGCGACACTATCGCTCCTTAACTTTAGATGACTATTTAAGGGGATCATTGGAAGGGGTATTGCCACCCCTCCCCACACCCCCGTCTCCCCCCACCAACGCTACTGATTCACGTTCACACTTCACACCGGGCGTTGTTGTACCAGCTACTTGGCAGAAGTAAATATGCTTTTCTTATTTAAAAAGAAAAATCATTGTTTGCTGAGAAGAAAGGTGGGGAAAAATACAATGGGCCAATTGGCGTGCTTTAAATGTTTTTCGTAATATTTTTTTTATAACGGAGAGAGCGAGAGAGAGGTCGAGAGAGACACAGAGAGATGCACTTTTTTTTAGTTACCACGGGCTTGTGTATGTGTGGCGCTGTGACCCTCTTTGACAGACTGCGTAGCGCGGTGTTTATCCGCCGGCCCGCTGGCTTACTATGTCACGCAGCATAGGCCACATGCGCTTTTTTATTTAAGTTTCAGCCTCACCACAGCTGATCAACGTTACAGTATTGAAAAATTTGAAAACAAACTAATGTACAGATGATTAGACGAACTGTATAGAATTGAGAACTACATGCAACTTCAAACAGGTGTGATTTTAAAGCGACTTATACCAAGAACTGACAACAATAAAATCCGAGCTACAAGGACGAGATTTAACTTCGTAGGTAAGAAGGTGTAGTAGCATGGACGTAGAGTGGAGGAATCATTGGTTTTATGAAGCGGACGGGGCGAACAACAACATGTTGGACAACGATTCAGATTACACCATCGGCCACAGATCTGATGTATTCAACAACAATGACATAGCTGAAGCAAACTGCGGCGCCAACAACAACAGCAACAAGAACAACCACGACAACAAAGCTGACTGCGACATAAATGCGAATACAAGCAATCCTTTCCTGAAGTGTGTAGATACATGTATTAAGAATTCGAAATGGAAAAGTAAGTCATTCATTTTGACTTGTCAAAACTTTAAAAAAAAAACATTTAATAATTGAGTAGGCCCTAAGCCTTATTTTTAAAAAAATAATAATAATTGAGTATGCCTAATAATTTTGTAAATAAAAAAATAAATAATGTTGTAAGAGTATGATAATAAAGGAAAAATTCAACATTTGACTTTTTACTTAAATTTGTATTGGCTAACTGACCCGTAATGCAGACCACACCATCCCTTATTATAATACTAATAATAATACAGAATACAGAGGTATATAAAACAGGTAAATTCTACTTCAATTGCCACATGGCAACCAGACTGAGTCCGAACAGAGACCGAGTAGTATTAGAAAAATAAAAATACAATTGTATGCAGCATTGTTGAGTTACACAAGCTCCAAGTCAAGAAAATAAACTACCACTTTTTAACTTCCATATTGATTTAACTATTTTCTACATCGTGTGGCCCCAAAATAAAAATTGTTACGGGTCAGTGACTGGTAAACAGCGCCCTACCTTATTAAAATCGGATGGGGGGGGGGGGGGGGGGGTTAAATTGAATAACCATATAAATGGGGAGAGGGGGGAAATGGATAGTGCCGTTTGCTTAATTTTAATGGAGTGTAGTAAATTGTTAGATCATTTCTAAGACTTTTTTACCACAGAGGCGAGGTAGTAAAAAAAAATCAAGAAATTAAAAAAAAAATTATGTTATTTTATAGACTAATGGTATTTGATACACATTGTAGAATATATATAGAATTTAGATCTAGATCTAATAGGCGGAATGTAATCGTCTTCTTATAAAGAAATTATACAATTGTAAAAACAGGCCTATGAAGTTAATTGAGTTAATATTTTTTACATTAATTACATAGCTCAGCTTATTAATACACCGCGACTTCATAAGTCCAGTCCTAGACTAGTATAGATCCACTATATAACTGGATCTATACTTCGTACCCTAACATTTTCCCGTTTATTGATACCCGGCCAGCGTTGCCTACTTCTCATGTTGTCTGCATACCGCATACACGCTCTGACCTTGCAAAACATCGGTATGGCACGAGAACCGACGACTCTGATTGGCTAACTGACGTCACGATCACGTGAAGACTGGGGGTCTGATTCGGTGCTAAAAATAGATTTTTCGTCCTTGGTGTGTTATGATTCTACAATCCATGAAGGATCTTAGCCTAGGCTTATAAGCTCTATGGATCTAAATTTCATTCATTTTTTCGTCAGTGGAAACATGAAGGCGGACTTGCCATGGACTAATCTAGATTTAGACCTCTATATGTAATAGATGTATTATAACCACCGGACATACGCAGGTGTATACACTAACCGGTCTCTTCAAAAACACGGTCGTTCAGAAGATTCTTAAACTAAACTCTAAAACCTAAGACTACTTTATTTTACAGTGAGAAAAAAACTACAGGTGCGTATTGCGTATGATTAAGTAATCCTAGAGTGACAGAGTCCTAGATCAAGTAATCTAGATCTAGATTTAGATCTAGAATCTCTCTAGACTAGATCTAGACTTCTAGATATCTATCGATCTAACAATATTCTAATAATAGATCTAGTAGGAGCCTAGTCTATAAATCTAGATCTATTCTAGATCTATCTAATATAACTTAGAATCTAATACTTTATTAGTGGCCGTCACTAGGTTGGGTGACTCCAGGTACGGTAGCCAAAGGTACACGGTAGTACACACCCTTCACCCACGGCCAGGCTAATAATGGCCATTAGAAGCAGCTGTCAATGATAGCTGTTTTGCTACTGTGCATATTTGATTATTTGTGCAACTAAATCCAGGAGTTGGATCTCTATAGGCCTATTAAGTTTTATTATTAAGTAATTAGTAATCAGAAAACTAAAAGCACCATTCTGTAACAAATGACTAGGGCCTATTACTATTATTTGATCAGATAGTCCCAATAGGGGCTAATATTTGTTGTTGGTTTACGCAACTTTACTCTGTTGTAACTTAATGGGTTTGTGTAAGTAGTTAGTCTACAATTTTACAAATAAAATTCCTTAAATCTGTATTCGCTACTAACTAATCTAGTATTTAGTAGTATAGCCGACTATCACTTATGACTAAATAATAAATAAGTATTAAATATTCATTTATTTTCTTTGAAATTACACTGAATAAAGGTTTATTTAACTTAGTTTTCTACTTACTCTGTTAATTTGCAAAAGCCTACACCTGAAAGATTTCTTGAGTGGCCAACGTTTTTACTATTTCATTTGTATGATAATAATGTTTATTTATTGTTTTTAGTGCAGTTAATAGCTTATTACTTTTATTGTTTAGGTGTATTTAAAGTATTTCTCATTACTGTTCACCAGAACTTAAAATTCATAGCATCTGTGATTGAGTGATTTGTACCAACTTGTTATTCCCCTTTAATTTTTAATGACTTATTTAATATCTAATTTGAGTATATAATGTTGCAAATCTGGAAATTAATATATCTTTTTAAAGAATTTTTTTCTTTATTGTAGCATTATTGAATTAATTATTGTTCTATTTTATATTTTCAGACTTTCCAATGCTCGATTTTTTTCAAACCGCTCCTGAGGTTTCTAATTCTAGAATACCCATGGATTTCTCCCCTTACCTGCTGTCTGCCAGCCCACCAGGGTCAGGATTTGACTTTATGGGGTACTCCAGTCAAAACACTCACAGTCATGTAGGCTTGGATTCTTCCTTGCTACACGGTACCTGTCCTTTTCATTATAATTCTATGCAAATGGCACCAGAGTCAAATCTCAACAAGAGGAGGAATGCACCTCTTAAATCAATCATAATTAAATCTGAGAGTTCCAGTGATTCTGAAGGTGATGTTCCAACACCAGAAAGTCCTCATTCCCCTGGGAGGATTCAGAAAAAAGTATCATTTGCAGACCATAAGGGTTTGGCATTAGCACAGGTGCGATTTGTTAAAGAGGGTCCTGATGAGCCCCCCCACCTCAATCCTGAAATATTATCGTCCTTAACACTTGGTGCTAATGCAGATGTTACAGGCAAGCCTCCTATCAAACTATGTTTTGCCCAGCCAGCATCAGACTACTTGGCATTCAGAGACAAAATCAACAAGGAGTTGGTGTCCTTAGAAAATGTCATACTTAGAGACTACACTGTTGAGGGTACCATCAAAGTAAAAAACATTGCATTTGAGAAACATGTTTTTGTAAGGCTGTCCTTAGACGAGTGGGAGAGTTTTGAAAACATTGATGCATCTTATGTGCCTGGGCCTGGCTTGAGCTACTCAGAGCCATATGACACTTTCTCCTTTACTATGGAAATCTCTCCAACTTTTGACATTTCCAAGAAAATTCAATTTGCAGTGTGCTTTGAAGAAAATGGTAATCAACACTGGGACAGCAATGGTGGGAAAAATTATTGTATTATTTCAGAAAATTATGAATCCTGCAACAGATCATTACAGCAGAGCCCATATTTCAACCCAAGGTGGCTGCCAGAAAAACAAACAGAAGCTTGGACAGAGTTTTCTGTCTGGAGAGATGTTGACTCGTCAAGTCCTTACTACTGAAGACACACTACACTTGTTACTGTTGCAAACCCCACGAGCAAGCTTCTAACTTGTCTCACTCAGCACCCAAGCTGCAAACTTAGTTTAAGCATTCAGTGCTTGTATAAGCTAAGAAGAGTGCAAAACTAACCAGTAACCCAGTTAAGGGTTTTAACAAAGATATATCAACGTTTCTACTTCCAGTAGATACATCCCAACCGTAGCCAAATGTGTAGTTTTGAGCTAACACTAAATAACACATTTTAATCATACCAAAGCATTATGAATGTTGCCATTGTACTTAACTTACCCATGCAATATTTTAGTTGTTCCCTCAATTTTTTATAGACTGTCTACTGTCTGTGTAATTAAAGAAATATGAGGGCTGGCCTTTCTTGAGTGCATTTTTACAATAAGATTGATGGTATATTTTTTAATCAGTGTACACAACAACATTTAAAGAGAGAGAGAGAGTAAATTGATTTGTATGTAATTTGCTCAATTAAAAAAAAAATAATTACTCAAGCTCTTTATGTTTATTGCTCGTTAAAAATGGTAGGGTCTGCTTGTCATATTTTTTTGTTTGTTCTGCCAGATATGATTGTAACAAGTTAAAAATTGTTTTGCTGAAGTATTATTAGTCTTTTTTGTTTCATGTGTAAAAATGCAAAAATTAAGGTTATTATTACGTGTGTGTGAATATGTAAATGTTAACATTTGTAAAAAAACAATTTGAAAATATAACCAGAACAGATACACAGAACAATATCATGTCCATTAAATGTATAAAGGATTTGAAGCCAGAAAAGAAATTACATTCATTTTAATAGGAACCATTACACTTATTTTTTTTTAAGATGCATACCTCACATCCCTGATACATTTGACATCTTTTTATTTGCGTGCTATGTGGTGATTAGTCAGCAATGTCAATTCTTTTTTCCCCTGTCATACATGTAGGTGAGAAGGGTAGGCTAATTTATTTTCAAATGATGCAAGTTGTTAAAAGTTTTATCAACTGTAATTTTTAGATTTTTATAAACGATATGAAATTATTTAGCTGAAGATTGTTATTTTCAGTTTTTATGGGTATGAACATATCAGTAAAAAATATATTAGGTCTGGTGCATTCCATTGTGCATTTTGATACAATGCACTTTAATGTTTATGTTGTTTAGATTTTAAGCTGGCAAACTGCTTCATTGATTATACAAACTAGATCAGGTTCTAGCACTGATTACAGTGCCTTTAAAGCTTGATCTAAGTTGGATTTTGATACAAAAAACTTGATGTTAAAACTTTTTTTTTTTTGTTTAACTGATATTAATCTTTTGAAAAAACAAACTGGTGTTGATCAACTTGAGGAGTCTTTGCAAAATCTGCTAAGTGGCTGTTAATTTTCCAGATATCTTTTTTTTTTTTTTAAATTTACTTTTAAACTAATCTTTGTTGTTTTTTTTATTTTCTTTTTTTTTTTAAATTTTTTTTTTACACTTTAATGATTCTTAGTTGACTTAGCAGACTCCTGACAAGCAAGTTGATCAGGGAAGAATTCATTTTTGAAGTAGCTTATAACTGCCTTTATTGCGTAGTATTTTAGCTGATACAATATTGTGTTTCATTAGAGTTATTTTCATTACTTTTTTCAACTATTATTTAGTAAAACAAAGTTTGATTATGTAATACAAAAAAGGTGCTCCCAGAATCCTATTCTCCACACGCATGCTTTATGTTGTACCTTCCACTAGTGTTAACTCTGCCAATGTACAACATAAACTGTCAGCTTGTGAAACAGATCTGAGTAGAGAGCAGCTATCATTTTGGTGTTTCAATTGGTGCCTCTCTTAATAGTTATACTCCAGCAAAGGCATGTTTGACAGTTAATTCACATTGAGTTTAGCTTAGCAGGATAGTGGGAGATATAAATATCAAGTTTTTTTTTTTAAAAAAACGATAACAGTTTCCTTAAATGCTTAAATTGATATTATTTTGGCTGTGAATCACTATTAATTAAAGCTTTCAGTGATGTAACTTTGTTTAGTTTGTATATCCATATGTTTAATTTTCATTCAGTGAATGACATCATTAATAAACTGTGGTAGCAATTAAATAAACCGCAGTCCATTGTTTTTATTGTACAGTCTTTATGTAAAATATACAAGGTATTATCATAATGTATTTTTGTATCAGTAAATATTGTTTGTGTATACATTCAGTTAAATGGCATTTTTTGTTACACTGTACTGTATGCCGTAAATAATTCATTGAAAAGACCTCAGACACATTATTGTTTAAAAGTGATGTAAGAAAAAGTATTCCAAATCAAAAGAAACTACTGTAAATGTTTATTCTTAAAGTAACTACTTCAGTCAGATGTCATGAAATTCAGTTCAGTGTGTGATGCAGTTTGTTACCTTATCTGATGGATTTCTAGACTTGGTGTCTGGGGAATTTTTGCCACCTCATTGTTTGCTTTGGCAAATTATCTGCATTTATTGCTGTTTAGCTTTGTAGTTTGTTTGTCTGGTTTAGTTTATATACATTTAGTTTAACAGCATTATATAAAATTACTTGTAAAAATTCATTGACCAGTATTACAAGATTTTGTTACATAGTGTAGTGTTTTTTTTTAATTAGACAACTAGTAATTAAATTATTTTGTTTAAAAAAAATCACATTTCTGTAGTAAATTATGTTATGAATTACATACTTGGTTATTGGTGTGATATTGAACAAAAAACTGGTTGTGATCAGTTAGTTTGCAGGTGTGGATGGTTTCAGTTGAATGCAGTGGACTGGTACATAATCAGATTCAAGTTTTTTCATGTACATAATGTATATTATACACATGCTGGTTGACCTTATTCATACAATAATAAAAGTAATAAAACAATAGTTTGTTGGTTAGTTGCTCATGTTTGTTGTTGTTCTTCAAAATTTCATTTTAATGTCTACAGTTAGATATTTATTGAAAACAAATGTAACTAACTTTGCAGATTTTTATTAAAAAAACGCACATCATGAGATTATCTTTACGGAAGTCCCAAGCTTGCTGGTCAGGTCTCAACAATTTGAATTGACAACAAATAAAGAAATTAAACAACTGAAAACTTTGTAGGTTATCCAACAACATTTTTACTTCTCTTGTAAAATTTACAAGATCCAATAATGGAAAAAAATACTGCTAGTTGTCTCACAGCTAAAATAAAAACTTTAGTCAATTAGGAAGCCCTACCTCTTCGCAACCATAACTATAATTCTCGAACTAAAACGTTAGTGCCCAAGACAATCTCTAACAAACAATTAGTGAATGGAAGGGAGATTTTAACATCCGTTTCTTTTGTGTGTAATTAAGTATTGTTTCCCATTTGTGGGATAGATGAAGTAGAGTTAATCTGTTTATACCCAGCGACTTTGTTGTCCATCACAGCTGAGGACCCGAACTCAGGGCCAAGCTCTTAGAAAGCTTAACTCATCATTGCTATTATGTCAGTTAAATACTCTGACAACACAACTATACTTGAAAGAATTATTTCTCTAAAATGTGACCTTGAAACTCGAGTATGCACTACTATGCAGCACATGCACATACAATTGACACTTTTACAAGTAAAACAATGAATAGAATACTGTATAAAAATTAAAGGTTAAATTTATTTTTACATGATCTAATTATGTTTGTCAGTGGTTACCGCAATTGCCAAAAACTTAAGCATAAGGAAAACATATAAATTTAATTTTCTTCGCATTTTATTCGTCCCTTAACTAGCTGGGCCATGATATATCAATGTTATAATGTTATGGCCAATTAAAACACAATCATGCAGGGCACGGTGCCATCAGTGTTTCTTCTAGGGGAGGGGGGGAGACTAAAAATATCGGGGGGGGGGGGGTGGGGGCGGACACTGTTAAAAGTATATATTTTCTATATACATTCCATTTATAAAGGGTGGGGGGGGGTAGACTTTCTTCGGGGCGAGGGGGGGGGGCGAAGAGATGCCTGGAAGAAACTCTGGGTGTCATTTGGGAGAAGACGAGGGAGGTAAAGAAATGATTAAATGGGAGACATTAATGAATGGACTGAAATGCTAGCTAGATGCAGAATTTCTAAATGCCACAGAAGCCAAAGAAAAATGGTGAAAATTTATGTTAAGTCTGATGCCTCAAAACACTCCGGGGTTATGGGATTGATAGATGAATGGGTAAAATCTTTTACTAGACTACAGATAGATGAATTGGTAAAACCTTTTACTAGACTACAGATAGATGAATTGGTAAAACCTTTTACTAGACTACAACAATAGTTATCAAATGGGAGACATCGGGTGAAGATTAATTCTAGAGAATTATTTGGATTTGAAACTGTGATAGGTATGCTGTGGTTTTAATTATATTTGGTTATTTCCCCTTGATGATAAAAAGTGAGGTTTCGAAAATCCATTTGGTAAACAGTTTAATTATTTGTAAAATACAGTCATTGTGTACAATCAAACGAAAATAAATAATTGGCAAAGAATCATAATGAATGGTCAAAGAGAAATCACCACTTTTATTTTAAACCCGCCGGTCTATTTTTAAATGGAAATAATCAAAAGTTTAAAAAACGTCTTCACCGTTTACGGTCTAAGCACAACGAAATTAATTGATCAAATATAGTAATTGCAGAGTTGCTTCCCTTCAATAAAGAACCTAGAAGCGTGTTTTAGCCGGCTTTTATATAACCACACGAAAGTACTTAAACCCTGCTAATAAACATGATGTGATGTAAAACTGCAACAATAATTATTTTTAAGTTTTTTAACTAACAACACAAAAACAATTACAATTTTTTTTTAAAGCGTCATGTTTTATGGTCAAAGAGAAATAACCACTTTTATTTTTAAACTGCCGTAGTCTATTTTTAAAGGGAAATAATGGTAAGTTCGAAAAAATTCATCACAGGTTACGGTCTAAGGGAAACGACCAAATAAAATGTTCAAGTATAGTCTTTGCAGAGTCTTTTCCCTTTAATAAAGTATTTAGAAAAACTTTCGAACAGTCTTTTTAATTTAATATAGGTACATAAAAGTACAAAGACCCATTTAACATGAATGTGTTAAAAATGCAAAAGCAAAAAAAAAATACTTTTAGATTTTTAAAAATTTACAGCATAAAACAATCATCCAAAAAGAAATAATTTGAAAATGTGTCACATTTTATGGTCAAAGAGAAATAACCACTTTTATTTTTAAACCGTCGTAGTAAATTTTTAAAGGGAAATAATCGTAAGTTCAAAAAAATTCATCAAAGCTTACGGTCTAAGGGACACGACCAAGCAAAATGGTTAAGTGTAGTCTTTGCAGAGTCGTTTCCCTTCAATAAAAAATAGAAATTTAGAAGCAGGATCTTTTAAAATTTTGAGGCAATGCGTTTAATTTTTTGGAGCCTCACAGTATGTTATACGTTTTTGCCTTAGGGTGTTTTGTTGCAAAATGTTCTTACATGCTTTTCTTGATAGTTATTTTGTAGATGCGACAGGTTAGGTTATTGTTTTTGTTTTCAAATGGTTTGCCTATGATCGTAAGAATAAAAAGAAGCAGAGTAATCTGAGCAATTAGTTACTGCATTCGTGTTTACCACTGGCTGTGCTAATGGTGCGTCTCGTTCAGTTGTTGGCGTTTTCATGATTCTGTTGTGTCTTGGAGTAGGTATTGGGGATTGGAGAATGATTGGCTGT